ATGAGTTAAAGTAACGACGCATGCACCGTTCTGTGATTGATGCAACAAAACATAAGAGAATGAGGTTTTGTGTGATTATGGAGATAATTCCTACATTTTCCCTTTCTATTTTGTCTCACACAAGAGACCTGTGTCAATTTTCTAACCTAAATTAGATAGAAGCAATCAATTTAAACAATGTGAAATTAGTACCAGTTATTAGAGATGCAATGTGAGAATAGAGTCCTGATCTAAAGGGCCAAAGTGTAATTAAGCATTTTTAATTGTTACTGAAAATTCATATGAAAGTTATTCTAGTGCAGACTGTGCTATTCTTTGTAAACCATGTTTGATTATGCATGTCAGAGAATGATTTTAAGTTTTTAAACTTTTAATTCACTTACGTGCATCAATAACGTGGAGAAAAGGACTTAACGCGAACATTATTGCAATCAATCAACAACAAAACTTTATAGAAAATTTTGATTTTTTTGCGTTGCACCGTCTATGACATCTACTTCGATTACTTAATTATATTGCAAATGTGCAAGTGATATTCCTCTTATGTAATAGAATTCACTAATTCTAATTATTGTTTTTTTTTTACCTGCATTACTTATAAGTGGATCTCCCGTTTATACATAGCAAGTGATATAATACGAAGTGAAACTAAAAAAACACGTGAAAGATACTTTGGTTCTAAAAAAAGAGCAAACTTGGCCATTGTATTATGCTCCCGATTATATTCATATTGATTGAATAGATAAATAATTAGGATTGCTCTTTGTTCGACTATGATTAAGACAAACTCTAGAAATTTGATGAATATCCTACCAATATGTATATAGTTCTCATCATCAATTAAAAAATCTATGATTTTATAATCAACCATACGATGAGATTGACCTTAGTAGCATATAGCAACTCCCCCATAAGAGTGAGAACGAGAGCTAGTGAGTGGGCTCCCACTAAGTTGCCAAGAATCCCCTGATACAGCTCTTAGAGGGACGGCAGGTCAGGTGCAATGGATTAATATGGACCTTGACTAACTACAAGGCATTCCCATTTGGCCGCGAGAGTATGCTTTTATTAATTCAAGTGATTTTGTTGTGTATAAATTATTCTTTCACAGATATGGAGAAAAAATATTGGAGAGAATTTGAATTCGTTTACCATGTAGCAACATTTGGGGGACAACACTTCCTCTTCATGGTTCATGATTTGTTATAACGAACAGAGTTTTATTCTTAAGTACATAATGTGCCCTAGATTCCGACTCAACACCGACCGACGAATACTCCAACGTAGTAGGAGCGGACTGAGGTGCACCTGTATTTGTCGATCGTATTATATATGTCTTACGAGACTTCCCCTTGTAAATATTTTCAGGTAAGAAAACAAAATCTCACCTCTTTCTATTGGTAAACACAAAATTCGATTTTAGATCCACTAGAACACGTATTCAACACATACAATAAATTAAGTGGTTAAAATTTTGTCTAATAATCTTAGACCAATGTTATGTGCACCAAATCCCACCAATCTGACGATTCATATCGATTTAATGCATAAATTTGATACAAAATTTTGGTGCAATATCATAATTTTAAGGTTGTAGATTTCAAATTTTCAATCTAAACAAAGTCACCCTTTTCAAATAATGTCAAAAGTCAAGTTTATAAACAATCAAATACTCTTAAGAGTTTCATCAATGAAATTTAAATTGAAAGCATTTTACGATTAGCTCGTCGGTTAGGTCTCATAAAAAATTTCAATGTTTTCTAACATCTTCAGGTTCAAAGTTTAAGTTTTAGCACGAGGTATGTGATACTTGTTATATTGTGATAATTACGTGCATTTGAAGTTTATCCGCTAACTGCGACTCTCAAGACAAATTTGAGACAATTATTCATTGTTAAAGTAATTATACTTTAAAGTTTTTCCAAAGTTCATGCAGTTTGTTCGGAGTTTTTTTTAATGTTTTTGACATATGTTTGAAGTTTTTATTAAAAACAAGAGTAATGTTACGTGAATTTAAAAATTAGACTTGATAATTATAATTACTAATTTTATTGTAGGTCCCAACATTTATTAGAATTCGCTATTTATTCAATGGTTGAGATTATAAAATATATTTTTTAAATCTAATTTTTAAGTCTATTTAGTGTTACTCTAAAAATAAAAAAGATTTGTGTATTTAATTTGAGAGTAATACTATATGAACTTAAAAATTAGACTTGATAATTATAACAATTGATTTTACAATTTATTAGAACTTATTATTTATTCAATAATTATGATTATTAAATTTAATTTTTAAATCTATTCGATATTACTCCCCGTTTGAACAAGCAATTCGTGATTAAAAAATTAATTGAATTGACCCACATTAATGACATTTCATAGACGTCGGAACGTGAAGACCATAAATGTCATATCATACATAGTACTTGATTCCAAAGCCTAGGATTCCACTGACATTAACGTCAATGGGAACGCTGTTTTTTTATTACCTACCTAAAAGCATTAATCTTAAAAATCACAGCTAATTTAATAATACCAAAATTGTTCAACACTCCTTCCACGTGGATAGTTTTGTCATTAAAATTACCCATACACATTTTCGATTATGAAGTGCACAGCTATTGTTCTATTTTATCATTTAGTCCAAAATAAACTCTTCCACCAAAGGATGCAATTAGGGCAAAGATATTAGACGGAGAGTTTATTGTCGTTCATCACGAGAGAACAGTTACAACGTGTTTTCTTACTCTCTCTGCTCTATCTGAGTGGCGTACGGCAACGCAAAACAAGTTCATCAAAATTTTATTTGTTCTCTCCGACAAGTGTTTTAAAGGCAAAAAACATGGAAAACTTTTATCAGCTTTTCATGATGATTTTGGGACTTCTTTTTTATCCTCTATAGTAGGATTCAAGGAAGATAGATTGTTTAAGTGACTTTGTTATTTAGTGGAGTGGAGACATGGCGCACTTACACTTTGTTATGGTTCTACTAGAGATTTATAGTGGTTTCTTTTATGGTTTTGCAATAAAATGGGCAAAGGAATCATGGAAATTCAAAACAGATAAAACGCATGAATTAAAATTGTAATGAAAATCAAAATTTTATTAATACAAATAAATTAACCTAAAATAGTTTTTAAAATTTAAGACTTATTAAAACAAATAAATTTAAAACAAAAGAATCATAGAAAATTAAGTCTATGGTACAAATAAATTAAATGTTACATATAATGAAAATCAAAATTTTATTAAAACAGATAAATTCACCTAAAATATCATCTAAAATAAAGTTTAGGACACAGATAAATTCATGTTATATATAATGAAAATTATAGTTTTATTAATACAGATAACTTGACCTAAAATACTTTTAAAAATCTAAAATTTATTAAAATAGATAAATTTAAAAAATCATAAAAACCAAAGTGTAGAATATAGATAAATTCATCATTCAGATTTTTTTGTTGTAATTAAAAAGATATTTAATAGAAGTAGAAATGGAGAGGGGGTGATGTCACCACTACAGATGAAGGAGATTGAGAAGTAAATATTTGAGAGACACTGATGTGTCGTTGCTACAGATAAAAGAGACAAAGTTGAAACAGAGATGAAAAAAGGTAACATTGCCACTATAGACGTAGGAGACGAAGTAGAAGAGATGGAGAGCTGGTGATTTGTTGCCACCACATATAAAGGAAAAACACAAAACGTCAATGTAAAGCATCGCTAGAGAAGCACGCTCCTTGAATTCAAGTGAGCCAGAGAGATGCTGCGTGAAATAGGAAAATGGTGTTTCAGATGATGCGAGATGTTCATTTTTTCCTTTAAAATAAGGACAAGTTTGTTTTTTTGTATGAATTTATCCTTAAGGATTGAAAAATTGTTTGCCTATCTTTGTTGATCAAATAAACGTTGTAGACTTTGGACCTTTCAGTCCCTTTTCCTTTTAATAATTGTCATGAATTAGTTCAAGAACGAAACAAGACAATTAAAGGCAAAAAATAAATAAATAAATAAATTTTTTTTCGCATAAAATTATATTTATACTTTTCTTAAACTTGTTTTTTGGCACAAAATAGATATTAATTTTTTCATTTTTGCTTAAAAAGTTTTAAAAAAATATTTATTGGCCGTCTTACACTTTGGATCCCCTAATATACTTTTTCCTTTATTTCAAAACATTATGTGACCCACTACAAGTTTAAGTAAGATCTAATGCATACAGGTGGGTCGAGTGATTTATCATTGAAAAAATTAAGTAAAAATGTAATACTGGATAATAAACATAACAAAATAGATTTTGACTACGAGTTTATCCATTGGATATAGAATCAAACTATGCATTGAAATACTATATTTTTTTTAGCTAGAGGGCAAACCTTGGCACAACGATAAGGTTGCTCTATTGTAATATAGAGGTGAACTCTCCTCAAACCCCACAACGGCGGAGGCCTCGTGCATTAAAGACATCCTTTATACTCTTTTCAACTAATTAAAATAAGAAATTGGTAAAACTTTTTTATATATTATTTCAGTTTACTTTATTATTTGCATAAGTAATAGTAACAAATGAACCAACTAACGTACGTCAGCAAATTAAGTTAGATTTTTATATTCAAATAGGATTACTCAAAAAAAAAAAAAAAAAACCCCAAAACTGGTTACCAGAATTAGCAATTGCAGTCACCATCAGCATCATAATTTGTTAAATATTCACATTCAGAAGTTAAATTCTTTTGTTCATTTCCAAAATTCACCCAAGATCCTAACTTCCTAAAGCGAAGGGGGAACAAAAGAAGTTGAAATAAAACTGCCAGGCTAGTGTACTCAGACTCACTCGACCCGTAGAAGATTCAAAGTTGTTTGTTGAAATCGATAGGGGCGCTGGAGCATTGGTTCAACTGCAGTTGAGTATCTCTGTCAATCAAATATGCATTACTGGGGCAAAATTGAGTTGTATGATAACCGAGCCATTAAACAAGTATTCCTTGTAAAATTTAACTTTTAACTCCTTTGCCATTGTAAATGCTGTAAATGTCACTGGATATAGCCATAGTGCTCGACGACACAGCAAAAAATATCATTATCCATGAAACTAGCTGGTCATTCTTTGTTGCGATTCCGTAAGTGTCCCTGCATGGCAACAAGAAAATTCATTGCAAAAAGTGAGAAGATTTTGACCTAAGAGGCAACCTCGCATGCATGTTTGATGTACTTCAAATGTAATACTTCTGTGTATGATGCTGCAAGTCTACAAAGTTGCATCACTCTTACTCACCTAAGCGTGATGGCAGCTGGAAAAATGAAACCCACAGCGACCGTAGCTGTGGCACCAGTAAACTGGAAAGCATCCCAGATACTAGGAACAAAATTTGCTCCCAGAAAAATGAAACCCATGAGAGCTGTTGTAACTGAGAAGAATCTCCGGTTGTCAAAGGCAATAGGAATAGCATATGGGTAGAGAAGGCCATCAAGGTTAAGGCGAAGGGAAAAGAATACAAGCGGGAATACAAGCATCAGGTGGATACCATAGCTCACTCTCACAACATCATTAAGCAATGATCCATATGGGATGCCAAGATCACCATCAAAATTGGCAAGCACATCATCCAGCGTGTGATCCCCAAACAGAAGAAATCCAAAGAAACTGGTTGCAAGATAGACAGATGAACACAATGTGATAGATGTCCGGACTATTAACTTCATCTGGGTGGGGTCTTTCAGCTCATTCTCTATTGGGTGAACTGCAAAGTGGATTAAAATAGGTACACACTTAAAACAAACTTTAAGTGTAAATAAGCAAGTAAATCATCTGAGAAGAAAAAAATAAAATTAAAGGTACCACACTATCAAATAAGAGCAAGAACCATTAATCGAGACCTTCTACCAGCTTCAAATAACTGGTTATTATGTTAACTTGTGGTTCAGACAAAAAAGCAGTTAAGTTGCAGAAGGCCTTGTTTTATTGGCACACCAAAAGGAAGTATCCCTAAACTTCACTGTTCAACAAGAATTTGCCAGTACGGTGGAAAACATGAGAATGTCTCTCCTTAATCCATTGGAGAATTGGCCTGTGTTCTGATTAAGCAATCCTTACAAGAAAAACACACAAAAAAGCATTCAGAAGACTTACTACATGATCACCGACACATAAACTCAACAAGAGCTCCTTAGCAACTTGATATTCTAAACTTCTATTCGTGAATTCTGAACTCTGCATTGCCATCTCCATCAAATTGACACACAATAATGCATTTCACAAGAAACATCAGAATAAATTTTAGAAGAACAAATCAAGCAAGGTCAAATTCAACAAAACCTTAGCAACTGAATGTTCTAAAACTTTATTCTTGAATTCTGCACTCTTTGGTGCCATCTTAAGTGATTAGATTTTGTATTTAGCTGGATTAAACTCCAACATCGAAGCAGCTCACCATTGCCAAATGCTTTGAGACTAATACAAATTTCCTTTTTCATTCCTAATACACCAAGTGTTATCGTAATAACTATTTTTCAGTAAACAATAACATTTCCAGAAGAAGGTAGACTGGTTTGATATCTTGTCAAGCCAGAGAGACAATCCAGTGCGAAGCAATACTTAAGTATTCAGGTCATGTTACAATATAAGCTATACAACATTGAATTATAATTATCAGCAAAACAACTCTGCGAATCATGAACCGGAATAAAATGAAAGAGGTTTAGAATTTAAACTTACTATTGTGGTGGCAGATATAGGCAGTGACTAGAATTGGAACAGTTGTGAAAAGCTTCCAGAAAGATGCCTGGTCAACAAGGTCAGGCCTAAACGTGGCATTGTGATACTTCCATCAATCAATTTAATAACAGCTACTCCTGCAGTGATTGCCACGAACACAACAGCCAAACCAACCGACAAAGCTGATGTATATCTCAATGAATCTTGCACCACCAAATGAAACAAAAATGAGCAAAGTTACTGTACAGCAACTGGAATGGATGCAGTATGAATACCAGTGCAATTCTTCGAGCCTATGATTTGATATTGAAAATTATTCCCTCTAACAACATGGAAGAGAAGAAACTCATGGAACTACTTTCGAAAATTTACCCTTCAAGCAAGAATAGAGTCCGATATTGTAAAATGGCGTAGATAATGCTTCCAATTCCATTCACTAGATTGCAAGCAAGCAACTATGTGGATTATAGGTGCCCTTGCATGGCCGGCCAATGGAAAGTTGAGGGCACACACATCCATCACTCACACCAAAGTTGTTCTAAAGTTACCAAACATGGTGTCAATTCATAGAAATTGAAGTCAGCACCATCTTGTTGGCCCCCTTTCCAGTGTAATCATATTATCATGGTCTGATGGCACAACATCGAGCTGCAGAGGCACTTGTTTAATATTTCACCAAACATTAAGTGATGCTTATTGGTCAACTTTAGAAGGGACAATTGGTAAAGCTTTGTTCATTCTTCCGCAGACATCTCAAGCAGCAAGGTGAACACTTCATCATGAACACCATTAATACAGCTAAATACCTTAACATGACAAAGGTGAACACAGATACACTCGTGACTCCATTTCTTCGCATGACAAAGCAAATGTGAACCCTTGGGCCCAACACAAGTTTAAGCTGCCTTTAGCTTTATGAAGCCCCCCCCCCCCCCCCCCCCCCCTTTTCTCTTCTTACCTAGGAAGGTCAATCAGGAGAATATTAAGTTCATATGTAACTAAATTTCCCTACACACTCCGAATCAGTCATGCCAACATTTCTATTTGGTAAACCATGGCAGCATATCCTTAGGATTGAATTCATCTAAATCAGGGGCACAAATATCTAAGGATTCATAGAAGAATAACACAATGACAAATACTGATCACAGCGAAAAAAAAACTGAGAAAAGGTAAAGAAAAGCAGGCATGCCAGTAGATTAGAGGACACTCACTCACCTAAACGTTTGAATGAAAGCAGAGGAGCAAACACAAACAGTGTCGTTAGAAGCAATAAGAAAGGTCGAGTGGTCCACCATTGTTGACCGAACCATTCTTCCATCAGACCTGAATAATGAACCCCGTCTGACGATGTTCCTGATAGCACATCACCTGTAATCAAAGGACCCAAATCGTAACATTATTTGCCGCTTAATCAAATACCTATACAGCAGCAAGCCATCAACAACCAAATTAGAATTTCCACATTTGAAAAATAAAAGGCACACGCCCGCAGTTGCCTCATAAAAAAGAATTTTTAAATGCTAAGCTGTCACACATGGCATAGCGTGGATCTTCCCCCCCTCCCCCCACCTCCTCCTCTCCCTCTCACTTTTGGTAACCTGTCACACCATAACGTAATGGCTCACGAGATCAAGGCACCTACCTCTTACATACAAAAAACAAAAAATAAGAAAGAAAATATATTAAAATTACGTCATTGAGCTCTAACTTCGCCGGAATCACCTAATTGCAAACCTGATAAAGCCTAATAACACAATAGGCGCGAACCCAAGATTTGGACTTTAAAACATGGTTCAAGATTGCGGTATTGGCCATCAACTCGGAAAGATATGAGATATATAGGTCACGACGTGGTATAAAACGACTTAAAAAGAAAAGAAAGAATTATACCCAGACCTTTTGAGGTTTTGTTATTTAATTACTCAGACACCCTGACATTTATAATATTATACACAGATCCCCTGACATTTGTATACGCGTAACACTTAGACCTTTACTGTAAATATATCCGTTAATAAATTACACTTAAACCCTCTTGAAGTTTGTAGGTATATAATACTTAGATTCCTTATGTTTAAAATATTATATTTAGACAAAAAATAGTTCAATCAAAGATTGAATATCAAATATTTTAAATTTTATAGCCAAAATTCATGTTATATTATATCATTTAATGTTTTTTCTTAAAAATTGTAATTAATATACAATTATACTATTTATTAAAATAAAACTAAAAAATCAACCAAGGGGTCTATGTCATTCATAATAGAACATAAATTTTACATCTAAAATTTATGTTCTATTATGTGATTTATTGAAATAAAATCAAAAATAAAAAAATAGTTTAAAAAAAAAATCATAATTAGTATATAATTATACTATTTATTATAATAAAACTAAAAAATTAAGCAAGGGGTCAAATTATAATAGACACAATATCTTTTATCTTTTAATTGGGGTAGTTTGGTATTTTAATTTTATCGTTTAAACGACCAAATTAAATTCTAATAGAAAATATAATTGTATACTAATTACGATTTTTTAAGAAAAAATTGAATTTTTATTTTTAATTTTATTTCATTAAAAGATACAATAAAACATGAATTTTAATTGTAAAATTTAAAATATTTGATATTTTATCCTTGATAGAAGTATTTTTTATCTAAGTATAACATTTTAAACTTAAGGATTCTAAATAATATATGTTTACAAATTTTAAGGAGTCTGAATATAATTAATGGATATATTTATAGCAGGGTCTAAATGTTACGAGCATACAAATTTCAGGAGATCTGTGTGTAATATTTTAAATGTTAGGGAATCTGAATAATTAAGTGACAAACGTTAAAAAATTTAGGTGTAATTCTCTCAAAAAAAAATATTGAACATGTCATATCATGATGTAATAGAATCGGTGAATTCGATGACGATATTTTGACTACTTTGACGTTAGCTCAGATACAAGTCTGTCGAGCCGAGACTCGGACTTATAAATGTTATCGCCTCCGGCGAGACGCATACGTCTGGGCAACTCGTAGCGGTATCGCCTAATGCTTTGAACCAAGTGTTAGAAAATTGAATTCTCCCTGTTAGTTAATTAGGAAAATTGAAAGAAATTGAATGAGGCCAACTCAATTTTTGACGATCAAACTCTATATCAAAAACCATCCTTGACAACAATCGAGGAAAGAATAGAACTTGGTAAATAGTGGGAAAAAAAAAAAAACAGGGGCATGGTTCGTACCTATGATGATCATGTAGACAATGAGGGTGCCAACGTTATTGATCACAATGCAGACCTGCAAGAGGGTCCGGCCAACGCCGCCGAATACGTCGCCGACAAGGGCGGAGTACGAGGAGGCGGATTTTGAAGCTCTGCTGAATCTCAATATCATGTCGATCGACGATTCGGTCAACATCGCGGCCAACACGATGACGATTAATCCGGGAATTGCGCCTAATTGCTTTAGGGTCGCCGGAAGGGCCATGATTCCAGCTCCGACGATGGTAGTGGAGAGATTGAATACGGCGCCGGAGAAGGAAGCTCCGTCGAAGCAGTTCTCGACGGAGCCCTCGTGCTTTTGAGGGATGAGTGGGGTGATTCTTGGGCTCCGGCGGTGTTTCGGGTCGGAGAATGGCATTCTCGTAAATCCTGGTAGAACTTTGGGTGGTTGTGTTAGTAAAAAGGAATTTGAACTGAACCAGAGACCTGAGAGGACTTTGGCGTTTGGTTGGGTTTTTATATAAATTTACGCGGGCACAACGTCGAAAACGGTTCTTTGAGGATTAAACGAATCAAGAACTGACACGTGGAATTTAGGTCCCACAAAACAAAGCGGGGACCTTTGGAACGTCCGTCTCTTTGTGGGGTCCACTACGCTTTTAAAAGAGAGAGATTTTTAAATTTGGTTTGAATAAATTATATATATATATATATTTAGGGCTAAGATTATGACCTTCGTTTTAATTAATCTTTTAAATTTTTTTAATTATGTTAATTAAATATATTTTTTTGTCTCCGTTAAAATATATCACTCCGGTAATCATATAAAACAAAAAATTAGAAAGAGACACAATTTATTCATTTGGTTTTAGTTAAAATAGGTGACGGCACCATCGGCTAGTTAGGGGTCCAACCATCACTCCGCGGGACCGTTATAGATTTCGTGGCACAGAAGGTATGTGTAACCTACTTTTGATGGAAGTATTGATAACGTATGAAGAGGCTCATTACATACAACAGAATTGGCATTCTTTTTTTTTTTTTTAATTCTAAAAAAGCTCATTTGGCTTCTGACTATTAGCCCTTTAGCTAATTTAATTCTTTTTCCTTGACATGAGGATAGCTCCCCCTTTAATAGGTGGGGATAGCTACCGGTTTTGTATTTAACATCCCTCGTCTCTTAACTTTCTTATTTTACTCTTAATTCGTATCTATGCATTATTTCTTCCTTTCCACCGTTTCCTATAGTCATAGTCTGCTAACGAATGCTTTAATCGTTTTCAGATATCTTGTCATATTTTCAATTAATAGTCCCATATTCACTTTTCTCTTACTTTTGCTTATTTTAGATAGAAATGGTTGGCAGAAGATTGTCACCCGATGCAATTATCCATTTTCGTCCCATCTAGCTAGAAGATTTAAAAAAAAAAAATTCCAAGGCGATGGAGAAGCTTTGAAGGAAGAAAGGGCTGAGTATAAGTTTTCTCCATTTTTCTGTTAATGATTCTTTTATTTAAAGAAAGTGAATATTGGATCTCATTCATTCATCCAAAAGGTTTTATTTTAAATCTCCTCACTTATTTAGCAATACAGTTCTTCGACAATGATAAATATGTCGGTATATTTGATGACTTGAGATAGTTTTTGATACTTTGCTTTAGAGAATGAACTTTTTGCAGATAAATTATTCTACGATACCTTAATGAAGCATACTAGTTGACAGACTATTATATTTACTTGAATTTAAGTAAAATTTATTATTTATAAATTAAAATTTCATCTATATAAATATTTTCTTAATCGAGCAGACTTGAAATAAAGCATACTCTTTTTTTTTAGGAGAATTACACCCAAATCTCCTAAAGTTTATTACTTAATCACATTCTTTGATTTGAAATATTATATACAGATCCCTTAATATTTGTACGCACGTAATATTTAAACTCATACCGTCAATGTCGATTAGAATATCCGTTAATAAATTATAGTTAAACCTCCTGAAATTTAAAATACTTAGATTCCTCAAGTTTAAAATGTTATACTTAGATAAAAAATAATCAAATCAAATATATAATATTAAATATTTTAATTTTATAACCAAAATTCATGTATTATGTCATTTATTAATATAAAATTAAAAATAAAAATTTAATTCTTTTAAAAAAAATCATAATTAGTATACAATTATATTATCTATTAAACGACCAAACTACCTCAATTAAAGATAGAATATATTATATCCATTACAGTTTGGTCTCTTATTATATTTTTTTAATTTTATTCCAAGAAGTAGTATAATTGCATAATAATTATGTTTTTTTTAAAAAAAAAAAATTATTTTTGATTTTATATCAGTAAATGACATAATAGAACATGAATTTTGGTTATAAAATTTAAAATATTTGATATTATATCTTTGATTGAAGTATTTTTTTGTCAAAATATAACATTTTAAACTTGAAAAGTTTAAGTATTACGCATATACAAACTTTAGGGGTACAATTTTTTTTTTAATGGGGGGTACAATTTATTAACGGACTAGTTATTGTCTATGCTTGAAGGCATAGGGTAATAAAAAATGATAAACAATAAACATATTTGTATTCATATCGAAAATCAAATCACAAATATAGAGAAGAGATAAATGAATTTAAGCATCGATTGTAAATAGGGGTGAGAAGTGGTGGGTGGCAGTGGTGGTGGTAGGAGACGGTTATAGTTGTGGTGGGTGGCAATGACCGTGGTGGTGGCGGCGACAACGGCGATGGTGGTGATGGCGGCGACAACGGTGGTGATAGTGGTGATAGTGGCGACGGAGATTACGGTGGGGGTGATGGTGGCAGTGGCGATGACGGTGGTGGCCGTGGTGGCAGTGATGGTGGCAGTGACGGTGGGGGCGATGGTGGTGGTGGTGATGGTTGTGCCGGTGGTGGCGACGCGGTGAAGGTGGTGGCGATGCCGACGACGGCAACGACAACGATAGTGGTGGCGGTGGCGGTGGCGGTGGGCGGTGGCGGTGGTGGTAGAGGTAGTGATAAAACGGTTTCAAATATATATATTTTTTAAAGTACTTATGAAAAATAATTCGTAATAATACTTTTAAAAAATTACTTCAAACACACTCTTAAGACCCTATTTTTCCTATTAAATTTAGGGTGTTAATATTAGCCGTTAGATTAATTTTAAAGTAAAATTTAAAGCGATCTTAACTGCGAAAAATAAAAGTCATTTTGTTTATCTTTTGAAATTTAAATTGTAAGTTAGTTTATTATATAAATATTCTAATGCATATTGACGACAAAATCTAAGTATTACATACGTACAACCTTCAGAGGTCTACATATAATATTTTAAATATTAAAGAATTTAAGTAATTAAGTGACAAACCTCAATAGATTTTAGTGTAATTCTCCAAGGGCATTGTTGAAATAAAGTATACTTAAGCAATCCCAATCTTCGAAATTTAATAGTAACAATTGGGGTTGAGTCTTTTTAAATGGACTTATAATGACTTGAGTTCGTTAAGGAAACTTTTTTTGGGGTAAGTCCGTTTTTAGTCTTATTAATAAGTAGTTAATTCAACTTTTTTTTTTAATTTCAAAAATACCCCTATGAGTGTTAGTTTTGATTCATTATGGAAAGCTAAAGACATTAGTTGCAAGTAAATATATATGGAAACTGGTGATTGAATATACAAATGATTGATTTACAACGATAGATTACAGACTGCGACGACCTGTATATAAATTAATTATTGACACGCTAATTAGGTCGTCAAATATGAATATATGTGTGTATATATATATATATATATAGAGTACATGCACACTTGAGCAAATGAAAAACGTGCAAAAAGAAAGAAAAAATAAAAAAAGAAAGGTAAGTAACATGGACAAGTGTCCATGTGATGCTTGGGGACCAAGCTTAAATTTGCTATAAATAGCCAAGTTAGGCCAAGCAAAAACGCACAAAAGAAAAGAGAGGGGAGGAAAGGAGAGAGAATAGAAAAGAGAGGGGAGGAAAGGAGAGAGAATAGAATAGAAGAAAATACAATTCATGAGATCTTAGGGTCAAAAATATTGAACAGTGATTTTATTTTAAATTGCTATCAAATTTGATTATTTGATTCTGGATATTTCAAATTTTGCATATATTGAAGTTATTGGTGGATTTAAGGTATAGGGTAGTATACAATATGCTCCTATCTTTTAAATTTTTTTGCAAAGAGTGTCTTTCATTATCTGAAATTTTGTATTCCTATTGATTATTCTGATTTATATGAAGTTCTGTCAATGTTATTGGTTGACTTGTACATGTACGTTGGACTAAATACTTTGGGATTAATTAATAAATGTACAAAGTGTACTTTGGGGCATAATTGGTGAAATGTGATTATTGCCCTGCGTGGTGCGATTGTGATTACAGTCCTGAGGGGTGTAATGATTCGATATGAGTATAGATTTTAAATATTCAAGTGTCATTTGTCATGTCACCAAGAGGACCTGAGTATGAGGCTAGGTTGATAGATATTGAGTTATGTAACTTATCGAATTGGATTCTTGATTCTTTTATGTATGATTGTCTATCGATTGAATTATTTAGTATTTGATCATTCATATTCTTTTCTCATTGAACATATTATTTCTTGTCATATTGTATACTTCCCCGCCTTTAATATTTTTCATGATTATTTCGGAGGGAAGGACCAGAGTTGATATTTGAAAAATCGAAAACAGACAAATCTTGATATAATTTTTAACTTTGTGGGGTTATTGGGGTGATGTATAATTTGAACAAATTTGTTTTTTTATATTGAGGAGACTATTTTATTGGTATTTGGAGATCAAAAATTGGGATTATAAATTTAAGGAGGCAATTAGAGCTCTGACCTTATACTCGGAGATTTATTTGTGGTTTAATATCGATCAATTGATTTAAATCAAGTAACGGGTTCGAGAAACCGGGGCGTTACACAGACTTTTCTTAATAATTCAAATTTAAATTCTTAATCATTATTTGTTATGTAATACTTTTGAATAACAAGTTTTTTGAGTTTTTGAGGGTGGTTTGAAGGTGATAAAAGTTGAAGTTGGAGTTCAATGTTTTTTGCAGTCGAAGTAACGAGTATGAGTTCGAGATCTTGAAGCTAAAATACGAGTTCAACTTGCTATTTATTGGAGTGCAGGCTCGTATTGACTTTGTATGTTAGAACATTTTTTGTTCAAATTTCTTGAGATATTCATTGTAATTGACTACTTTATCTACTACGAATAATAGTGTTATATTTGCAATTGTTGGAATTTCAATATTACTTGCCGAAATTTCTATTGCGACAAATTTTACGATCCTCTGAAGCTAACATTCAAGATTTTGCAAATCGGACTATGTGTCTGAGTTCGAGAATTTGAAGTTGGAGTA